AGAGCTCTCTGCACGCGGCGTGAACGTCTTCATCAACGTCACATCGCACGCTATGAACTCATACCTGGACCCAGCAGCGTCAGAGGCTATGGGTATAGGAAGACTGCCAATGATGGCGTCTGCCGCTGCCTTGTTGCGGGCAACAATGACGATGTGAACGCGGCCTTTGAGGTACTCGGCTAGTGTCTCAGTTATAGCTTGGCCGATCCCTGAGGTTCCTCCGAATATCACGGCCACTGGGAGATACGATGGACAATAGCCAGCATTCGAGGTCTTTGCGGCTGCAAGAGTGGGCATTTTGAGGGATGCAGAGAAAAGAATCTGCACGTCGCATGATGAATTTAAAGAATTATTGATGTGCCGCGTCCTTCCGCGACGCGTCACACGGCGAGTCAGGCACTGTCACGTGACGATAGAACTGACGCGTTCTTGAGTTAGACGCGCCGTTGAAACCTGAGAACACCAGCGATGTAAAAAAGCACCATAGATGTCAAGTGTCAAGTGTTAGGCCAGTAAATTCCTCATAGATTTTTACAATGCTTACTGGGCCAAGTCTACTAGCCCAAGAAGTATGAACTCTCAATCAACTCTCAATGAACTCTCTGAGAAATGACGCTGAAAAAAGAATAGCCCGAACCTGAATGAAGAAATATCCTATGAGGACAATAGACAGCCCTTCACTCGAGCTTTGACGCTGGAACAGTCCGATTTCAAACCTGCGAAGAGCAATAGCGGATACAGCCGAGGTGTCTGTATTGGCGTCTCTACACGTTGATGTCGGGCGGCGAGATATTCCTAGGAACAATGTGTGATTCTAAGAGAAGCAGTTCGATCGAAATAACGGCCAGAGTTAGATTTGCTCTTGGGATGTCTCTGAGATTTGGAAAATCGTCAGATTGCCGACATCCCCTGTGAGGGCGGTTTCCAAACGTTTCAGTTTTCAGGCCTACGTGTGAGGGGTTGGGAAATACCTGGGATAGGTACTCCCTTTGGGGTATAATGATCGAAAGAACTCGATAGAAAAAAGGTCAGTATAAGATGACAAACTTTGTCGCCAAAAATACGGGTAATAAAGTTTGGAGTGACATTCTGTGTCCCAGCCCGCAATAGAAGCACAAAAAATCTGCAGCAAATCAATCAACAGCATGTCCACTTGAGGGATACGACACATTACATGGGTGCAAACGAAAAGAAAGAAAGACAGAGTCGAAAGAGGCAGTAGGATATAGTGGTAAGCAAGTTCTCATAAGGCCGCAAAAGAACCCGAAACAAATCTGCAACAAGCAAAAGCAAGTTAACGCCACGACAATTTGATGCGTGAAACATACCTTTATAAAACGAAGGTAGCGGCTAACACGTTCTTATACAGTCGTCAGCTGTACAGAGTGATCCCAAAGGCGCTGTTGGCCATCCGCTGCTTGAGGGAAGCCTTCGCTTCCGATATCGTCACCCTTCGCGTTCCTACGGTTCATACCCTTCTCGGCATTGAACAGGGCAAATAGCATGTACTCAGCGCAGTCTTCAGGCTTCGTAGAGATAAGCCAGAGAATAGGGCGCAGAGGCAGCATCAGGATAGTCAAGAGCCAGCTTGATGGACGAAAGGCGGGAGTATCTACGGTACCAGGATAGATATGCGTAAAGGCAATCTCTGGTTCCCGTTTGGCATATTCCTGAGAGCTTTTTTGTCAGTGAAATATGATGGAAAGAGACGGAATAACAGACGGCAATCATAGGATCGTTGTAACTGATCATCTGCGTCATTGCCTTCAACCCGCTATACCCCTCAAATACCCCTTCTTCAAACCCAAATCCTTCAAATCGACCTCCGGGCCCATACCGGCGGCCAAAATGGAGAGGACGCTAGCGTCGTCTCCTGCCTCCTTCGCCTTGCGCAAGGAAGGCAGAAGACCATTAATTATGGCCCACCTAGAGTAATACCTCGAGGCCATCTTCTTATCGATCCCTTCTTCCGTCTCCTCCCTTCCAGTCAAAGCAAACACCCCGGCAGATAGTACTAGAAAGTTGATCTTCGGCAAACTCTCCGAGAACTCTCTGCACGCGGCGTGAACGTTCTTCATCAACGTCACGTCGCATGCCATAAACTCATACTTGGACCCAGCAGCGTCAGAGGCTACTGGTTTAGGAAGACTGCCAATGATGGTGTCTTGTTGCGGGCAACAATGACGATGTGTACGCGGCCTTTGAGGTACTCCGCTAGTGTCTCAGTTATAGCTTGGCCGATCCCTGAGGTTCCTCCAAATATCACGGCTACTGGGAGATACTAGGGACAATAGCCAGCATTCGAAGTCTTTGCGGCTGCAAGAGTGGGCATTTTGAGGGGATGCGGAGACGAGAATCTGAACGCCACAACGTAAGTTATGGATGCTTTGACCCTGCCCCGGCCTTCCGCTGGCATTGTTGGGACGTGGGGTGTTCTGTCATTGGACCGTCACGTGACGATGAAAGCCAATGATCATAACCAAAAGGCTACTGAGTCGTTGAGCATGCTCGACTCGGACGCGCCGTAATACCTGAGAGCACCAGCGATGTAAAAAGGCACCAGAGATGGCAAGAGTTGGGCTAGTAGCGTCCTCGTAGATTTTTATCATGCTTACTGGGTCGGGATACTAGCCCAAGAAGTATGAACTCTCTTAGAAAATGGCGCTGAAAGTCACAAAGAATAACCCGAACCTGAATGAAGAAATATCCTATGGAACAAATAGACGGCGCTTCGTTCGAGTTTCAAGGCTCGAATAATCCGATTTTCCAACTGCGGAGAGCGATAGCGGATACAGCCGAGGCGTCTGTATTGGCGTCTCTGCACGTTGATGTCGGGCGACGAGATATTCCTGGGAACAAGGTGTGATTCTAAGAGAAGCAGTGCGATCGAAACAACGGCCAGAGTTAGATTTGCCCAGCCGATGTCTCTGAGGTTTG